TAATTTAATGCTTTTTAATAAAATATTACCATTTATTATAGTTTTAAGAATAATTACGAATCTACTGCACAATGTGACGCCCCATTCAGGCGTCTCCCCTTAGGGTGAGACGTCTGAATGGGGTGTCACATGTGAGCCCACAACAGGCGTCACATTATGCAATAAATGTGTAATTATTCTCAAAATTGTAATAAATACGTAATTATTTTATTAAAAAATATTATTTTCATTTTTTTGCCATCGAACATGATATATGATACGTATTGTATGCTACGTATCATATGATACAATATCGTATCGTCCGATACAAATCACTTTCTGATACACCACATGATACATATTGTTATGCTTGTGAATTATATCGTGTATCGTATGATACTGATAACTATGCCTACCTTCCTTTGCCAACTTGTTTTTCTTAGAAAAGCTTATATAGTCAGAATATTTTTAGAAAATCCTTTGACTTAACAATTAATCTTGATATGTCAGGTTATTTTTCATTATTTAAAAACCTATAAATTTTTCATACTTATAAAAATTTAAATAATAATAAAGTTATATCATAATCAATAAAAAATGTTAAATTATATATTTTTATATTATTAATAGGTCCTACAAATTATAAACTTAAATAAATAAGTTCTTGATACATGTAATAAGAGCAAAAAACAGTGCAGTTATAAACGTTGTTGTTCCAGAAGGGTTATATTGGCCCAATTCATTTGGCTGGCTATTATAAGGGATTATTACACCCGAGTGTAATATTTAAATATTCATGGTAGATGATTTCACTTCGATACACAACACACACGCACAAATCTCAAGCATCAAATGAGTGTACTTGCCTCGAATTAACCGAATCTCACGAGGGCGAAATCTCTCAACTTTTTTGTATGATTGTATCTCTATTCAGTTATTAAGGAGGCACCTTGACACGCTAATTCATAAGTTATTATCCAGCATAAATATCGGCGCGGAGCTACCGTGCTGTTCACATACTCCTTTTGCTCTCAACGTTCGCATGAGATATTACTCATATACGTACCTCATCCCTTTGACTTGAGGAAAACAACTCCCTTCCCATCATCTAATTTCGTCTTTAATTATTAAATAAATTATTAATTAGTAAGTATTTATTTAAATATTTTAAAAAGAATTAAATTTCATTTAAACAATTTTAAACTATAAAAATTATTTAAAATTTAATAACATTATACAAAATAAGAAAATAAATTAATTTTTATTTTATTAGAATTGATCAAAACTAAAAGAATATACATTAAAACTTCAACAATATGCAGGGTAATCCATTTGAGCCCACAGCACCCGTCTTAAAGTGCATTACAAACTCGGGTGAAAAAATGGGAACCCACTAAAGATGGTCGTCCAAAGAGAGTGGTGCTTAGACAATTGAATGATGTGGCTAAAGTCTGGTACCATTTTATAATAAGCAATATCATGCCCTTTTCTAACCAGACTGAAGTGGTGGTTAAAAAAGGCAGTGTTGATATGTGCTATTATGTAGGAGTATATAGAATAGGAGTTACCAATAGACCTTCCTCAAATTTCTGGGTGATAGCATCTATGAGATGGCTCACACACACTAACATGCATAAGGCATCTATTGGTCATAGCTCCCTGATCCAATATGTGTGTAGAGAGGCCAGAATGGATATTCATATTAAAAGGAAATCTATTACTTTGGTTCCCATCATAAATGCAAAGTTCATCTCCGAGCAGTTAGGCTTGCCAGTGCCAGAGGGGGAGGCTTCAGACACCAGCCCGCCGAAGAAAGCAGACAGATACATTGACACCGATACCAACAGCCGCAGTAGAGCTGACTGAGTGAGTGCATTAGAGACTCGCCAGAGCTTAACTGAGACCCGTGTAGGGTTTATATAGCGCAGAGTCCGGCACATGACATATCAGCCAGCACTGTATTTTGGATCCGAGGAAGAGGAGGCTTTGAGACTGCCCAGAGAGATGCTGCAACTTTTCAGACCACTACTTTGCAGGCTGCTGAGGGCCATACTGATACTGCTGATCCAGATGCTGCAGATGCTGACGATCACCAAGAGGAGGCTGGAGATGACACAGACATGATCCCAATGATAATACAGGATGCTGAGGATGAGGAGATTGAGGACTGATGACCATTAGCTCACTTTTAGATTTACCTTTGAATTTGCTTTCTTTCTTTTCTATTTTACCTTATTTTGAGACTATTATTAGTTATGTTCTGATAGGGTGTTGTGATAACCCTCGAACATTTTATTTTAGTTTTCACTCTGATGACTGATGAGTCGGTTGATTCCTTGTGTTTCAGAGAGCGGCTAATTTTCTTAATTTCTCGACGAGATTTTCTTTTTAGATTTGAATCAATTGCTGAGGACAATAATATTTAAACCTGAGAGTGGGAAACGCACGATTCATCAGGGCATATTTAACCAAGCTGGAAGGATTTCAGGAGCACACACAGAACATCTAGCTAAGAAAGAGAAATATCTCAACTCCCTTTCTTTCTTTTTGGTTTAGCGTAATTTCTTTTGAATTTAGTTTTTAGTTAGAGCATTGAAAAACCCCTGATCTATTGCTTTTGTGATTTTATTTTATTTTACTCAGTGCAAATAAATAGATGATTGAGAGGGAGTTTGATTAGGGATTTGATCTAGAGCATCATGATGCACTTACACCAATTTTGATAATAAGCATCAATGTTAAGTGATTTGCATGATTCATATATCTTTGTGGAAATGTAACGAGATTGATTGAGATAGAGAATAGAAAATTTATTGATTGACATCAGTGGCGGATCCAGGGCGTTGCCCTTTTTTTTTTTTTAAGATCATCGTCATGATCCAATTTTTGCTTTCACTTTTTTTTTTTTTGATAACAATTTTTGCTTTCACTTTAAAAGTAAAGCTTTGGTGAATCAACCAAAATTTTAAGAAAATAATAGATAATAATAGTTAAAAAAAATAAACACCGTCAAAAGACATTTGTAAAATATAGTATAATTGTAGGAGTTAATCGATCAAAAACTCACTTTTGTCAATGTCTATTTAATCCAAAGTTGGCCACTTTTGTTTCACAAAAAAACGTGAAATATCCCATCGATTCTCCTCCACTTGATGAAGATTGAATTTAAGAAATATTGATGTTTATTCAGATTTGGAGCTAATAAGGTTTATATAAAAAAAAAAGGAGACAAAGCAATGAGTTATGGTTTAAGCTTTAAGTTTTTAATTGTAGGGGTTAATTGGATTGGACATATTTTTACCTTTTTCCTTTAATCTTTCTATTTCTTTTTTTCTTTTTCTTTTTACTTGACTTGAATCACCCACTCCATGTGAATTTTTTCTTCTTCCCAATTTTGTGTCTATAGGTGTAGACAAATGCACCAACCTGCGTCTGCCATTGACTGAGATGGAGAATAAGAAATTTACGGTGCACCCAAAATCGTGAGTTTTTGAGCCTACGTAGAAAATATTTTATTTGGTGTGTACTTTACTGTATTAAGCACTCTAGAACTTGTTTTATTTCTTTGCTTCAGATGGTCTATGATGTATTTTGTGGAAACTTGCTTTGTCTTAAACACGTGCATTTTATTACTTTTACAACCAGTACATTTGTTGAAGTCGCAATATGATGCCTTTATGAAAACTGTTGTTTATACAAAATTAATTTTAAAGAAATAAACTAGTTAACAAGTTGGTAATTTCATTAGCATATTGACAAGTTTTCAAAAATTATTTGTATAAATAAAAACCTGTAAGGTGAAAAAACACGCACACACAAATAGTTTTCTTTCGTAATCAAATTAAATATTTATTTATAGACAAGTTATATTTATAAATTTTTTTGTTTAGAAAGTTAACTATATGCTAAGGATAGTATATAAGTTAATTTATGTACTTATCCTCAATACATAGTTAAGTCTGTAAACAAGAAATTTGTAAATATAACCTTACTTTTATTTTTGACGGATCAAATTCAAATTTTTGTGTTAAATACTTAAGACAGAAACCGCTACACTTAGAGATGTAAATGGGTTAGGCCGGCCTATAGGGGTCTACAACTTAGCCTATATCAAGCCAGGCTCGGCCTATTAAATATAGTCAAATAGAGCAAATTTAAACTAAAAAAAAAACTATTTAAAAAGCAGGCAATAGACTTTCTTTTACATACCGAGCTTATAAGTCTACACATCAGCCTTTATCATATTATTTATTTTAAATAAAATTATTATTTTAATAATTTTGAGAGAGATAGACACAAAATAATAATTTTTTTATTTAAAATTTAAATTAAAAAAATTAACCAGTTTCTTCCCCATGATTTTCATTCTCTCTCCTAAAATGACATAACTTATGTCCTTTAAAAGGACAAACGTCAAACCTATTAAATAAATATAATAAAATAATTATCTCATGCAATAGAGATAAGATAGTGAGATCAATTATTTTTTTTCTTTTTTTTTTAAGTAATGGTTCATATTATCTTGTCTATGTTACATGAGATAATTATTTCATGCAACATGAGATAAATAGATTCCATAAATATATTTTGATTTCAAAAAAAAAATTATTCAAAAATTTGGTCATACATTTTTTTATATATTGATCCTATAAACTTATAAATCGCTTTATATTATATATATATATATATATATTTTTTTTTGGAGTTACCCAACCCTAATTATCTCTTTGAGACGAGTTGGCTCCCAACGGTATCCCCACGAGCTTCGACTCTTTGAGCCGGCTATGAGACTAATCCGGAGTGCGGGGAAACAGTGATGGCTAAAGGTTCAGCCCCCTCCCCAAGAATGCATTCAGCGGGAATCGAACACATATCCAACCCCACTAACTCAACGCCAAGTTACCAACTGAGCTGCACCCATTGGTTTATATTTTTTACTTTAAATAAAATAAATAAATTATTATTTTAATAATTTTTTATAATAAGATAATATATTTTTTAATTTTTTTAATTATTGAATGATGTTTAAATATGCTAATAAATCTAAATCAATGTATTTATTTTTTAAATATGGATCAAACTAAATTTATAATTTAGGCTTAAATAAAATTTATATATTTATTCAAGACAAAGTCCAGTCTTAGCCTATTTACACACCTATTAATCAATAGTCATAGTGGCACACAGTCGCTCTCCATGAACGGCGCGTCGTTTGGAGCTCCCTCCCCACAATCCAACATGGATCGCAAGATGGCATCTGCGGAACAACTTGTTCTCGAACTCGGCAACCCCGATCTCCGAGAAAACGCTCTTCTCGAACTCTCAAAGGTACCCTAAACCAATTCATCTATCATTTTTGGGAGATTGGGGGAACAAATTGCTAGCTTTCATTTCTTTAATTTTAATCTCTCTTTCTTTTTTTATGTTTTTGTTGCGTTTTGGTTGAATTATAATGATATGCTTTGTTTCAGTTGAGTCAACAAGCTACATTTTTTTAAAGTAGCTTCGTTTAAAAAAAAAATCTGAGGTTCTTTATCACTCTCTATCTCATATATGTATTACAATTTACAAGCATTTGTTTGGCTTTGGTGTTTTTATAATTGAATTATGTTTTGTTTGGCTCATTTTCTCTAGTTAGTATTTGGCAATGCTTGTAGACTCAAAACAGTTAACTAATCAATTTCTATTTTTCCTGTTTTTGATATTTTAGAAGAGAGAGTTATTCCAGGATCTCGCTCCATTATTGTGGAATTCTTTTGGTACCATTGCAGCACTTTTACAGGTGTGCTATGTGACTTGCATCACACAGTCCTTGTTACTTGGCTTACTTTGCTTTAGTCTTTCTTGTAAACTACTTTTGTTTGTAAATTGTTATTGTCAGAGAGATAACCTAAAAGCTTAAGCTTATAAATGATGGGCCTTCAATGGTTTTATATTATATCTCTCTAACAATTATATTGTCTTAGCATATAAATTTCTCTCTTTTTCACCTGTTTTGTATCATATAAATCTTTTATCAAGTTCATGTTTTATATGTTTCCAATTTTTCTTTTTTTGACATAAAAGCACCATTTAGTTTTACAATTTCAACATAGGTGACAGGGTGAGGAGGGAGAGTTAGAATGAAGATGTGATTTAATTTAGAAGTTGTTTTGAACTTTTCACGCTAAAATTGCTCAAAGTAACTTGTTATGCCAGAAATGTTTGTGAGGATTAGTTAGAGTACTCTTTTTTCAGCATACTCTTTAAATTGCACTTTCTTTTCTCCTCATTTAAATTCTATTTTATATCTTACATGCATGAATACCCTCAAACTAACTAGTATTTCGTTTCCTGATTGTTTTAAGCGTTGGAGTTTCTAAATTTTTCTTCTTTTTTTCTTTTCTGACATTTCCCCCCAATAAAAAGGTGCTTCTTGGTTGCCCTCCAATTATAGGATTTGATGTTTTTATTTTCTTCCAGGAAATAGTTTCAATATACCCTGTTCTTTCACCACCAAATCTTACTCCGGCACAATCAAATCGAGTGTGCAATGCTCTTGCTCTTCTTCAGGTGAGATGACTTTGTCCTATCAAGTTCTGTATCTGGTGTTCTGCAGATGGACACTTTCAATATGCCCCAAAAATTATTTAACTCTAAAAACCAATTGCTTTGGAAATGAGTCCACCCTTTTCCATTTTCTTCATGCAATGAAAATATGAAAAATGATGCTGCTAACACTTTTCTTTTCTGATCATGCTTTTCCTACAGTGTGTCGCATCTCACCCTGATACAAGGATGCTATTCCTCAATGGTAATGTCACTTTTCTTATTCATCTGAAGAATATTGTACTTATCATTTTTGCATTATTTTTTGTGATAGTATAGAAATAGTGACATATTTGGTTTAACTTATTTTGGGGGGAAATGGCTCTCTTTTTTTTCCCAAAAGTTTTCTCAATGAGCTTTTGATTAAAAGCTGTTTTGAATACAAAATGAGCTAATCCAAACACACACTAGCTTGTGCTAGATTATTAGAATAAGTAATTTTTATTGCTCAAGTGTTGTGGGAGATGCTGTCAGCATATTGGGGTTTGGTTGTTTCCATCTGAGTAATACCAAGAATGGGAAAGAGTACTCTGAAACCAGTAGGTTCAGAGCATGGGAGGGATAGAAGCCAAGTTGATGAGCTCAATCATAGACTGCACGTGAACTTGTGGTTAGATCTTTCTTTATGATATCTAAAGTCTAAACAAAGTGGCGAATTCTCTCCTTTAGCAAATTTAATTCCTTCTTCCCAAATTTTCGACTATATGATATAATGCATTTATTGTAATTATTGTCTTATTCCTATTTGATGATTGCTTTGCTTTGGTGTAGTCTAATCGATGTAAGATGGTTGACCTTTTGTTTTGGAGGATATCTCAATCCTCCCCAGTTGTATTTTTCCTCTTTTCTCTCAAATAAAATTTATTTTCTATATATAAAAAAATGATATAACCACCAACCCCTACTAGTTTGGGATAAAGGTGTTGTTGATTTTAATATAAAAAAATGATATTAGATGGCCTGCCTGGAAGGTCTTTGGTAACTGGTTTCTATGTGTAAAATGAATCATGTGGATAAATTTTAAATGCCATTTGCACACCCTTAATATTGGCTTTCTCATCATAGGACTTCTAGTGCTGCTTGATTGAAAATGGAGTTTCCTTCTCCCAAAGTTTATAGGTTATGCCTAGTTTCCTTTCTTAGCAGTCATACTTTTTCCTTGCGACGTTTGTATTTTTTACTGCCAATATCTATACTTCACAAGCATGTGTAGACAGAAACATTTGGGCTTAGCTGAAAGATATATTACTGTTTGTTTTTTTGTAATATTGAAGACAAGGTGATTGCTTGACATTGCCATATCCATCTTGCGCTTTGCAAGATAACACTTGAAGAAAAAAGATATTAGTCTGTTCATTGTTTACGTTTAACCTTTTCTCATCTGCAGCTCATATACCTCTATATCTGAATCCCTTCCTTAATACAACAAGCAAGTCAAGACCATTTGAGTATTTGAGGCTTACCAGTCTTGGTGTCATTGGTGCCTTGGTGAAGGTACTGCATCCTTGCTGATTTTGTTGTTGGATACGATTGACTATGGGAAGAATAATTTTTATGGCGACATTCATGCTGAAAAGAGAATAATTTTAATTTCTAAAAGTATTGTCACAGAAAACTATACGTGGCAATAACCTAAGTCTATGTCATAAATAAAAAAGCAGTAATACCTGATTATTGATTATTTTAAATTTTATGGCAAGTAGCTAGTTGTGTAAATAGTTTAGTTGCCACCTATAATTAGTTTTCTTGTAGCCTTATCATGCTCTTGGTAGATTTTCAATTATATTTGTTAAGTTTTAAATTCAATCTGTGAAAATTTTGTATAATGTAATGGGGACATGCAAATCCAACTTGTTAGGATGAATTCATCACTATTATCTGGGAATAAAAATTCCCAAACTTTTTTAAGCCTTTACTTGATTGTTTAATATTTTTTTTCTTCTTTGTCATTTGTTTATCATTTGTACTTGTGCTTTGTCAACTGTTATAATTTCCCTGCTGTTGGTATCACCAGGTTGATGACACAGAAGTTGTAAGTTTTCTTCTTTCGACAGAGATAATTCCGCTTTGCCTGCGCACCATGGAAATGGGCAGTGAATTGTCAAAAACAGTTGAGTTTACTGATTCTTGGTTTTTAGGCAATTTGGTTTAACCGAGTATTTTGTTTGGATGAATTGTACTTGGTTGCTATGTCCTCCTTCATTTTTCTTTGAGCCACTCTTTTTGGGTATGTATGATTGACATGTATGCATGTAAAACTATCTTGCTTCTACACAGGAAGTGTGGATTAGCTTACGATTTATCTGAGTGGTCCTGGAACAAGTGGATACTATAACTTTTTTTTAAATAATTTCCTCTTTCAAACTTTTGGCCTTAATATAAGCTTTTAGCCATACTCACGGGACTGTTAAACTCTAATTGGCATGTTTAGTTTTATCAAAATGCAAATAACACCAGCATTAGGACTACTTGGTTTCAAATACGGTTCTTGATACTTGAGCTAAATCTTTGACACGGTTTCATAGTTGTATTACATGTTAATTAATGTTCTACTCTTGTACTTTTTATGTTCTGTAGACTGTAAATGCTAGGCCAATTGATTATTTTAAGTTGCCCCTATCTCTTGATCTTTATGCAAACCTAATTGTAGTAAAACTGTAAAATGGAACATCTTTGTGTAATGAAAGTTCTACCACTGCAGGTTGCAACATTTATAGTTCAAAAAATTCTATTGGACGATGTTGGTTTGGATTATATTTGTGCTACAGCAGAGCGCTTTTTTGCAGTAGGTCGAGTTTTGGCAAACATGGTCTTAGCTCTTGCTGAGCAGCCTTCATCTCGTCTTTTGAAGCATATTATACGATGTTATCTTCGTCTGTCAGATAATCAAAAGTAGGTTAAGTAGATTGCAACTCCTGTTTCGTAAGTGTTCCTGCCATGCCCTTTCTGTTCTTTCCAAGTTTCTAATAAAACATTGGGCATATTAAAGCAGGGCTTGTGATGCATTAAGAAGCTGTCTTCCGGAAATGTTAAGGGATGGCACTTTCAGTAATTGCCTTCGTGTAAGTACTTCTTGTGATATCATTAGTATACAAAATTTTATTTAATTAACAGGGTTGGAGTGGCTTGATTAAGTCATAGATTGAGCCGTTGAACAGTAGGGCAGTAACAATTAAAGTTCGCTCTCTTCAAATGATTTCAGAGCTAGATATTTTTCGTCTTGCCTTTTTAAAGGGTTAGTCACATTTTTAGTTTGGTTGCGTTATCTGGTCTTGGTTTTATGAATTCAGGAAGATCCAACAACTAGGAGGTGGCTACAGCAGTTGCTTCACAATGTTGGAGTGAACCGGATTCCCACTCTACCAGCTGGAGGAGGATTCGATCATATGATATGGTTACATGAGAATAGAGATCTTGCTTAGTTGCTGTGCTTGCTATAATCACTTCTGGCCCAGTTATCTCTCTGTCATGAAACTTTAAGATAAGTCATTGCTTTCTGCATAAAGATAAAATAGTTGTAATTATTGATTAGATATTATGTTATAAATATATTGTTCGGCCGTGCTGATAATTTGTATATACAATTAGGTGGTTCTTTTTACCCCCTCAATGAATGTTCAAGCTGATGGTAAGACATTTAAGTGGTGGTTTTTACTTAACGCGATTCTTTGTGGACTTGATCAAGTTAAACGAAAGCGTCCATGGGATTGTTAGGTGCCGTAATTATGTGAAAAGAATCTTCAAACATAATCTATTAAGGTTACAAACTAAATGTTGGGTATATACAGATTATTCAAATTTTTATGTTTTATCAGAAGAAGATATGAAGGTAAGTGATAAATTCAAGAGATGAAGTTCCCGGTCCAAATGATTTACAACGCAAATTGTGAAAAAGAAGCCAGCTAGGTCGCAAGAACCATCAACTGTGTGGTCCTACGAAGAATCTCCTTGATGAAGTAGTCTCGACCTGCGGACAAACCAACTAGTTTTACTATATATTATATAAAAATCTAAACAACATAAAAATTTTATTTATATACAAATCTAAAAAAAAATTGATTAAATTTTTTTTCGTGTTTTTCTTCCTAATGATTGATGCGTATTTGGAGTTAAATCAACCCGATTCTTGCATTGTACATATTAGAAGTAGGTGCATTAAATTTTTTTTTTTTTTTGTAACTAGGTAGAGGAGAGAAAGAAAGCTAGAAAAATATATATGTATATGGGATCAATATGTAATACTTGTGGATTAGAGGTAGCCCATAAATCACATTTGTTGATAAAATTGCAACTCCAATGAGATGTGAGCGAGGACTTTTTAAATGGTTTGGAGTTTGGACACAATGATAAGGAAACAAAAATAAGAGAATTTCATGGCCAAAAGCTAAATCAATGAGAAAGAAAGGGGGAACAAGAATAGAAAACCACCGCACAGTCGACTAATGACTCTGAGGTTGAAACTCACAGTTTATGTTTCCAACAATTAATCAGTAAAGTGGGAAGCCATTTTAACCAGCAACATCAAACAAACAAAAAAGTAAGCACAAAAGTAATTCCGAATTTAAAATTAAAAAAAAAAAACATTCTTTTGAGTGTTCAATTTGATCAAACTTTAAGACAACTTATGACTTCAATGCTTTACCTATTGCACAAAAAAGTATCCAATTGCTCCTGCAGTTACCAACACTTCCGAGGAATCAAAGTTAACAAGATGGAAAAAGAATGTAGCATGCACTGAGATTCAAACTAGTAACGTCACTATAATTTCACAAGGAAGACTTGATAAAGAAAAGGAAGAAATGATTCATGTATTTTTCATTTTTTCAATCCTTTTGGTAATCCCTGTTTTTTTTTTTTCATTCCAAAAAAAAAAAAAGGGATTACCAAAGGATTAAAAAAGTGAAAAATACATGAATCATAATAGCAGAAACTGGGACCTGAAAGTAATAATGTGTAGGCCTTGATGCATCATGAGTATGGGTAAATTTGAGAACTCGGAGTACCACTAAAGCAAAAGCACGTCATATCATTAATAGTTGATAATTTGGTGCAATTGTAGATTGTAAATCGAACTCGTAATTTTGGGACAAATAACCATCGAATAATATTTCTCATATTATAATAAATAAATTTTATTTTTTACATATATAAAAGTGTGTGAGATTTATTTTTTTTCCTGTATTCTCCTTACATGGTCTCACATGGGCTCCATATACTTTTACGTGAGTATAAAAGATAAAATTATCTTCTATCATATAAAAAAATTAATCTCAATAACTATTTCCACGAACCAAAAGAGATTCTTTATATTAAGAATAATCTATTCAATTTTTTCTTCAAAATACACATCAAACTATGATATTGCTGCTTATTGGCCAAAAGTTTTATCTTCACCAACCAATAGACATACAATCAGTGATCAATTCCAACATAATTTAGCACTAAGTATTAAGTATTATTAAGAATAAAACAATGCAACCAAATTCATTATATAAATCAACATTTGAATTTCAGGAAGAGTGAAAGTTCTATATTTAATAAATGCACATCCATTAATATTATAAAAGCGAATTTCGATGTAATAATTGAAATACTTGATACTTCTCATGCCATGATAAATAATATGAAAAAAAAAATTATTAATCTTCCCATAATTTTTTTTGGATAACAAAAAAGTTTAAATATGAAATATTTAATACTTTTTCTTTCCCCATTTCATTCAGTAATTTCATTAAGTAAAAAGTAGCGCTCGATCAGTGAGCTATTACGCACTCTTTCAAGGGTGGCTGCTTCTAAGCAAACCTCGTGGCTGTCTCTGCACCCCTACCTCCTTTATCACTCAGCGATTCACTCCCCAATGTGGGTTCTTTTCACCCTTCTCTCACGGTACTGCTTCACTATCGGTCACCCAGGAGTATTTAGCCTTACAATGTGGTCCTTGCTGATTCACACGGATACAAAGATGGAAATAAATGTAACCGTTAGATCAAGATAATCGATCTAACGATAAAATTGATTGATAATAATATTGATAATAACACTAATTAGTTGTTACAATAGTCTTCCCAAAAAAATATACAAAATAAAATAATTTCATTAAAAATAATATAAAATTATGTCATTTAAAATCAACTAAAATGATATGATAAACGTTTTTCCCCATTTGAAAAAGGGGTTATATTTTCTTCTGCCGCAGATGATATGTATTTTTCCTGCACAGCCATGGAGAATAGTGTCAACAGTTTTTTTATTTTATTTTATTAAAGGGTTTAACTTTTCTTATGTTGTAGGATTGTAGGAGAGAAAAAAAGTAGAGAGAAGTTAAATGTGGGTCCCATATTTTATATTAAAAAAGAAAAGAAAAATTAATTGGCACGGAAAACGAATTTGTGTAGGAAAATAGGAGTATCTCATATGGCATGAGAGTATTATTAAATAATGGGATCCACTTTTAAAAAATGTATCTAATGCACGAGAGATCCATTTGCATGTTGCTGAAGAATATGATTTCCCTTTGAAAAAAGCGGAGACCAATAAGTCCGATGTAACCGATGGAGAATGACAGGAGAGTTCAATGAGGAAGGATTCGATATGATTCTGTTGCGTAACTGGGGACGAAGTATGCTAAAAGAATGATTAATTTTAGTGAAGGCAAAACCATGGTTCATTGGTCCAGGTTTTCTTTATTCCCGAACCCTAATATTGAATAACCCCTCATTTATTCGTCAATCTTAATATTAACCTTTTTATTTTTAGTTAAATTTTTATTTTATTTATTTTATATCTTTTGTAGATGCAACATTGGTGAGGGAGTTATTGCACTCGCTGAGACTTTACATGGTTCAGCACATGATATTGCTGTAAAGTAGAACCGTGGAGAGTGTTTTTCAACCGTGTATAATCTCTCCTCAACTGTTTCTTTCACCTTGTTATCGTGGAATTTGAATTAATCCAAGTGCTTGTCTGAGGTGGTTATTCAGTTTGAAACTCTGTTTATCGTGTTTCTTCCAATCTTCTTGTATGTAGTCTTATACAAGATATGCTCACATTTGATCTTGTTGGGGAATCGTGGATCGGTGAAGAAGATGATCCTGTTGCTCATGGTGGATCGGTGAAAGCACCCAAGGTTCTTGCTGACATTGTTGAATCTGTGGCTGCTTCTGTCTACGTAGATGTTGATTTTTAACCTTCAAAGAACATGGGCGGTATGCTTGTTTTCTAACCAATCTGTATTTACTAGTTAATTCATAATGATCATTATTTGGTTATTAAATGTTCAAATTCAAAATGAGAAATTTTATTTAAACAATTATTGTTAGCAGATAATTATTAGAGGTCTTTTGGAGCCGATGCGAGTTGATTTGGAGCAACAACCCCAACTAGTGACAATGCTCTTTGAAATCTGCCAAAAGAATGGGAAACAACAGGTTGACATCAAACATTGGAGGAAAGAAGCAAAAAGCATTGCCAGTGTCTTTATTGATGGACGATTTGTTGCGTTTGCTTTCTAGGACCAGAAGGACATTGCAAGGCTTGCAGTGTCTTTCCTTCTGTGGAAGCAGAGCTTGCAATGTCCTTCTTTCCTTGGAAGCGGAGGGGCAACAAATCATGACACTGGCAATGCTTTTCGCTCCTTTCCTCCAATGTTTGATGTCAACCTGTTTCCCATTCTTTTGGCAGATCTCGAAGAGCATCGTCACTTGTTGGGGTTGTTGCTCCAAATCATCTGGCGTCACAAACAACTCCAAAAGACCTCTAATTATCTGCTAACAATAATTGTTTAGATAAAATTTCTTATTTTGAAATTGAACATTTAATAACCAAATAATTATAATACATATTGGTTAAAAAACAAGCATGCCACCCATGTTTTTTGAAGGCCAACGAAGAAATAAATTGTTATATAATTATAAACAGTGATACACCGCCAAAGGTGGCAGAGAGGTGAATTTGGTCGATCAGACTCTACTGTAGCCGTCGACTCAGTTGTTCGTGGAAAATGTTAAAGTAAAGCGGATTTGGTTTTGTTTAGTTCATATCATGATTCTTAAAATTTTGAATTGCTATATATTATGTTGTGGTATCGTTTGGAACATGATAATGAATTGAAAAATGAAAGGTTTTTATTCCTAGCAGTAGCACCCAACATCCTTCTTAATACCAAGTACTACAATAGCAGTTTCTTTGAATTTGGGGTTTAGGGTTTGTTTGTTGGGAGTGCCCTCATTCTGTTCGTGAAAGTGTTAAGGTTGTGAGGACATGGTTGCTTTGTTTGCCTATTATATGCTTCTGATTAATTTTGTTTTATTTACATTAGCTATTGTTGTCGGTAATGAATTGATTTATAAGGTTTCTTCTCATGTGTTGAGTACTACCTTTATTTCGTTAGGTTGTGTTTGGTCGAGGATATCTCGTAAGATAGATGGGTAAAAGTCAATTGGAAATGTAGCTTGACCATAGTTGTTCTACTTTCATCATTTGCCTACTTAAACTATTATCCCAGCAAACTGATTTGCATGTCAAACTCCCCAATAATAAAGGCAAGATATTCCCAATTGTGATGTTGTATTTTGAGTTCCCTAGGTAAGTTGCAGCAAAAGTAAGAATGGAAATTACTATCATACCAAACTATTTAAAGGTAAAAGGGTATCATATGTGATTCAAAATAAGAGATATTTTGGTAATTGCAACTCATTTTTCCGTCAATAT